GAACATTGTTGTTGGCATCCTCCTGTCTCGAGAGACAATGAAGGCCGTGTCAGTTCCTACACCTGGGATCGAACCCGGGTCTCCTTGTTTGAGCGCCGAACGCTCTAACCACTACGCCGCACGATGCCACTGGCCATTAGAAGAAAATAAAGAAATTCTTACCGCACTCGTACTCTGGACAGCAAGGGTCGAAGTCGGCCACATTCCTCATGACTTTACAGTAACCTTCGCAGACGGGCTGCTCTACAGGTTCACAGTACACGTGCTCACAAGTGAAGTAGTTAGGGCCACGGCAAGTACAGATCTGGCAACTGTCGCCGCCGGGGACCCAGGTAGAGTTGATCTGGAATTTAAAAATGCGTGTGCTTTTGAAAAAAAAACAAAAACAACAAGAGTTCCGAGATCTCATACCTCCATGAAATATAGGCTTGCTTTGTCATACTTCCTTTCAACATGTCCTCATTAATTATGCAAATGGTATCTACGTTAACATAATATATGTATAGTGGTGTTAACCTTTAAGTAACTTATACATGTCGAGAGGTATAAAATTCCCATCATTAACCAATAAGAAGTCACAGAATTTTCACATTAATTATGCAAATTAGGTCATCATTAGCATAATTGGTATGTGTTGATGTTTCTCCAGCCACAGCTTAAATAGATTACATGTATAAATGAACTATTATATATAACACTGTAACTATAGAATTTCCTCCTTAATAACAGGCAATTTGGTAAGTTTCAAGGAGGAGGACATTATACAAGCCTTGCAGGCTTCTTTCCTCCTCCTGTACACTGTTTTAATTTCTTTGTTTTGTATTTGTTGATTATTGTTTTCATTTGTGCAAATAAATAAATAAAAATGAAAATGAAAATTTCTTACCGGTACAATGTTGCCTTGGTCGTCCACACAGTGCACTGCAGATGAAGCAGAATATCACGGCAGAGGTTAGTTAGTGGCAACATATTCAATCAATGATGCTAAAAGAAGACAGCTATTTAGGAAAGTGTTCACTTCGAACTTCTGGTATTGCAAAGAGAAAAGAACTCTACGCATCATTACATTAATGTTAACTCACACATTACAGACTGAAGAATATAATCATCTCTTTAGCCTTATCTAGTTTATCTATCTATCTATCGCTCTCTCTCTCTCTCTCTCTCTCTCTCTCTCTATATATATATATA